GGGACCCCCGGGGTGGGCGACGAGGGGCTCAGGTAGAACACTTGGATCCCGGAGCTCTGCAGGTCCGGGAGAACCTCCTCCACGGCCACCCGGAGCTCTGGGGGACACGGGGGGGGACACGGCGGGTCACGGGGGGGCACTGGGGGGACAGGAGGGACAGGGTGGGGGACATGAGGGACCCCAAACGGGCACCTGAGGGATCCCAAAATGGGCACATGCACAAACCTGTGCACAGACACAGGCACGTGTACAGGCACTGACACGTGTGGACACAGGTACAGACACTGACACACGTGTGGACACAGGTGCAGACCCTGACACACGTGTGGACACAGGTACAGACCCTGACACACGTGTGGACACAGGTGCAGACCCTGACACATGTGTGGACACAGGTACAGACCCTGACACACGTGTGGACACAGCTACAGACCCCAACACACGTGTGGACACAGATACAGACCCCAACACATGTGTGGACACAGGTACAGACCCCAACACACGTGTGGACGCAGGTACAGACCCTGACACACGTGTGGACACCGGGGCTGGCGAGGATGGCTGAGATCGGGGCTGGCCAGGACCAGGGTAACCTTGGTGGCCACATCCCCCCCATGTCCCAGTAGCCCCCCGAACGTCCCCTCCATCCCCTCTCACCGGGGCTGGCAAGGACCAGGGTGACCTTGGTGGCCACATCCCCCCGCATCCCCGTAGCCCCCCGAAGGTCCCCTCCACCCCCTCTCACCGGGGCTGGCGAGCACCCGGGTGGTCCCGGCGGCCTCCAGCGCGTGCCGCAGCGCCCGTCCCCGCGCGTTGGTGTTCACGCAGGCCATGGCACAGCCCAGCTTGGCCAGCGCCAGCCACGTCCACAGGTAGGTGGGCGAGTTGGGCAGGAACACGGCCACCGTGTCGCCGGGGCTGAGCCCCAGGCGCCGCCGCAGCGCCCGCGCCGCCCGGTTGCTCCTGAGATCCACGTCCTCGTAGGTGTAGAGCTCGTCCTGGAAGAGGAGCAGCGGCTGCCGCGGCCGCCGCCGCGCGTGGAGCAGGAACACGTCCAGGAGGGTCTCGGGGGGGCTGCGGGCGAAGCGGCGGCGGCAGCGCAGCGCCGACCTGGCCATGGTCACGAAGGCCACCAGGTCGTCCCAGAGGAACGGCGGGGCGAGCAGCGCGGCCAGCAGGGCCAGCCCGGCCAGCGCGGCCGGGAGCAGCCCCAGCAGCAGCGCCATGGCCACTGAGGGGTGGCCGGAGGTGGCCAAAGGTCCGCGGGGCCGGGCCGGGCGCACCTTTGGCCCCGGCGGGGCCGGGAGTTCGTTGCTCCTCGGGATTTATTTGCTTTGCTTTGCGCTCCCTCCTTCCTCTTTTGTGCCCGGGCTTGTTTGTTTTGTTTTTTTTTTACCTCTCTCTCTCTCCCAGTTTTCGCGTTCCCGGTGCCGGGGTGTGGCTCCGCTACCTGCGGCTCCGCGGGCTCTGTCTCTCTGTCCCCTCTGTCTGTCCCCACAGCTGTCCCTCTGTCCCCTCTGTCCCCCTCCTGTCCCCTTGTCCCTCTGTCCGGCCTGGGTCCTCTTTGCCCCCTCCTGTCCCTCGGTCTGGCTCCTGTCCCCCGGTCTGGCTCCTGGCCCCCTCCTGACCCTCTGTCCCTCTGTCTCCTTCTGTCCCTCTGTCCCCTTTGTCCCCCTTCTGTCCCCTCTGTCCCCCTTCTGCCCCTCTGCCTCCCTCCTGTCCCTCTGTCCCTCCGTCTCCCTCCCGTCCCTCTGTCCCTCCATCTCCCTCCTGACCCTCTGTCCAGCCTCTGTCCCCCCAAATGTCCCTCTGTCTGTCTGCCCCTCAGTCTGTCCGTCCTGGCCACTCGGGTCTCTCTGCTGAGGGGGTCGGGCAGTCACACGTGGGATGTCACACACGGTCCCCGAAGCACCTGTGGGGTCACACGAGGTCCCCCGGGGGGTGTCACACGTGGGACGCCACGCACAGACCCCGGAGCGGGGTCACGCGAGGTCCCTTTTGAGGCGTCACACCCCGACCCCAAAAGGGGGGGGAGAGGAGCGGGGCCGCCACACCCCCACACCCACGCGCGTGACACACTCGGGGCACGGAGTCCCCGGGCGAGTGTCCCCTGCGCTTCCCAAACGCCACAAGGAGCCAAGACCCCCCCTCTTGCCCCCCGGCCCTACGGCGGGACACGGGGGGGGGCACAAACGAGCCCGTACGTGGAGAGGGGGGAGACCCAAAAAGAGGGCGAGGTCCCACCGAGATTCGAACTCGGATCGCTGGATTCAGAGTCCAGAGTGCTCACCATTACACCATGGGACCGCCTCGCGCCGCCCCCTCCGCCCGGCCCAGAGCCCTCCGCGCCGCTCCCTCCGCCACGAAAAAGAGACCCCGCGCTTGTTCCCCCCCCCCCGGGAGAGGAGGGGGGAAAACAGGGATGGGACCCCCCGGGATGCGCCGGGAGCGGGAAAAGGGGAACCCGCCCGAACAGGGACTTGAACCCTGGACCCTCAGATTAAAAGTCTGATGCTCTACCGACTGAGCTATCCGGGCTCCTGCGGGGGGGCGGCCGCCGGCGGCGGTTTGGGCTGAAATCCCGCAGTTTTGGGCAAAATCCCGGGGGTTCCGGGAGAAATCCCGGAGTTTTGGGCAGAAAACATTCCGGGGGGAAATGATTCCTCTGGGGTTGTGGCGGGGGAGGGATTTCGGGGCGTGTTGCAAAATGCAATTATTTATTATTGTAATAAATAATAATGATAAATAATGCATAGTGAATATCTGATTATATTCGATATTATATATAATTTATAGTATAATATATACTCTAACACAATATATAACATAATATACAATGTATAGATAAAAGATAAACCTAGTATATTTTATATATTTTTTATCATTATATTTATGATAATAACTAATAAAATAACAGGATATATTTAATATATGATTTTATTAGATATTATATATAATTTATAGTTTAATATATACTCTAATACAATATATACTCTAATACAATACATAACATAATACACAATGTATTATAATATATAAAATATAACCCTAATCTATTATAGGATTCCCACTTCCCTTTTTCAAGGTCCAACCCTTTCGGAAAAAGCCAATCAGGGCTTTCAGGTGCCATAAAAATATAAAATCTGAGGACAAAGTTCTTCCCAACCCGACTCCGGAGGAACCTTCGGGTCCTTCCTGCTCCGGTAAGAAATTCCTGGTCGGAAAAATCCGTGAATTCACTTCTAGAAATTGATTCATCCAGAATAAATTGATTTTTTTACTGGGAGTAAATTGATATTTTTTAACTGGAGTAAATTGATTTTTTTTTTTAAGTGGAATAAATGGAATAAAATGAAACACCCGGGACTTTCTTTTCCTTGAGAACCCCAATCCCTCCATCCATAAATTCCTGGACATTTTTCCCTGTTATTTCATCCCTTGATTCTCTTGTTCTTTTCCGTGGAATGTGTGCAGGGGCCGAAGGAATTCCGGGAGATTCCGGGACATCGATGGATTCCCGGGTCTGGTGGTTGACGCTGCTCCCAGTCCTGACATTCCAACAGGGATCCCACCTGGCCACAGGTGAAGACAATTCCATTTGGGATATATCTGGGATATATTTGGGACGTATTGCCAAAATTCCTTCAAAAACCTTGGAAAAGCTTCTTTATCCAGAGGGTTTGATCGGGGCTGGAAGAGGATCCCCAGGGAATTGGTTTTCCCCCATTTTTCCATGGTTTTTCCAACCAAAACGATCAAAGGTTCGAAACACCAGAGGGATAAATCCCGGAATCTCAAATCCCGCGAGCGTTCCGTGTCGTTTTCCCAGTTCTCCTCCGGGTTCCTCTCCCACTGACATGGTTGCGTTGGTTGCCTGACATTAATTCCATGAAAACCCGACGCGGATAAACCGGGAACAAACCCCCGTTTTGTCCCGAAACAGGTCGGTCGGTGGCTTCTCCTGGAATTCCCGTCGTCGGGATCGTCGGGATCGTCGGGGATCGGGTTGTCCTGCCCTGCCGGGTGACCCCGGAGCCCATTCCCGAGGTTTTCTCCGTCCGCTGGGTGTTCCACGACGGCTCCCGACGGATCCCCGTGGGCGGTTTCGACGGGAAGAGCCGGGAGGAGGAGTGGGACGGGAGGTTCCGGGGCCGGGCGGAGTTTTTCCCCAGGGAATTCCGGGCCGGGAACGTGTCCCTGGGATTGAGGAACGTCGGGATCTCCGACCGAGGGTTCTACACCTGCCACGTGTCAGCCCAGGACGTGTCCCGGGAGGCGTCGGTGGAGCTGGAAGTGGCAGGTGGGAATTCTGGGATCATTTTATTTCTTTAAAAAAAAAAAAAAATGGGGCAAAATTTTTATGGTTATTTTATTTTGGTGCATTTTTATGCATTTGAAATAAATTTTTATATTATTTTTATTTTTATGTTCTATGGTTTTTATATTTTTTTTATATTTGATATTTTTGTGTCATATATTTATTTTCTATAAATATGAAAATATAGGTGTATAATGAAATATAGGTATATAATACGTAATATATAAATACATAGTGTACAATATACACTCTTTAACTATAATGTAAAAATATATAATATAGTATATAGTATATAATATATAAAATACATATTAAATGCATAATAATATATATTAACAATATATTTAATAATATATAATTAATATATTAATAGATATTAATAGATATTAATTTTTACATATAGATATTAAATAGTAAATAGTAAATATATAATATAGTACTTATAATTCCCACATTTTCCCAAATCCTGGCAAATCCCACTCCCGACTTCCTGCTAAACCAACCTCCCCCCTCCCTCTCCCAGATTCTCCCTGGAATCCCTCATTCCCTTGGAATCCCTTCCACTCCTTCCCCTTTAATTCCCTCCTGTCCCTCCTTAAATCCAAGGAAAAAAACCTTCCAACACCTTCAAACCCTTAAAACCCTTTTCCAAGGAAACCCAATTCCCCCCAGATCCCAATTTCCCGCTGTTTGGAAGGGAAACCCTCCCGTTTTTCCGCAGCCATCGGCGACGTTCCCACCATCGTCGTGAACTCCCGGAAAAGGGACCTCGGCCTCTCCTGCCGAGCCTCGGGCTGGTTCCCCAATCCCGAAATCCTTTGGCTGGATGGCCAAGGGAAGCTCCGGGAGGGATTTTCCAGCCCCAGGACGACGCCGGAGCCGTCGGGGCTGTTCCGGGTCGACGCTTCCGTGACCCTCCCGCCCGGATCCGACCTGGAGGTTTCCTGCAGGATCCTCAACCCCCGGCTCAACGTCTCCAGGGAATCCCGGATCCGCATCTCGGGTGGGTCCGGGATCACCCCCGGGATCGGCTCCGTTCCCGGGATCCGTGCTGGGAGAAATCTGTATATTTATTTATATATTTATATAATTATTATTTATATATTATTTATATTATATAATAGATTTATTATTATTTATATATTATTATTCATATATTTATATATATTTATTTATATATTTATATAATTTATATATTTATTTATTATATTGGGAGAAATTTATATATTTATTTATAAATATATATATATTTATATATTACATATTTACTCCTTAAATCCACGGTGGAATATTTCATCCTTAATTTAATCCTAATATTTAATAATGATTCATATATTTATATATTTTTATATTTATTTTTATTTATTTGTTATTATTTATATAAACAATATTTATATATTTATAATATTTATATATTATATAATATTTATAAATATATAAATATTTATTTATTATTTTATTACATATATTTATAAATATATAATATTTATATATTATATATTTACTCCTTAAATCCACGGTGGAATATTTAATCCTTAATTTAATCCTAATATTTAATAATTTAATTCATACTTAATATTTAATCATTTATATGCAACCTTTGGGTCCAAAATAAAACTCTCTAATTATTAACACACTTTGAAAATCGTTAATATAAAATAATTAATGGAGTGTTGCTCCTTTTCCCAGATGTTTTCCTCCCTTCCGTCTCCTCCTGGCTCATCGGTTTCCTGGTGCTTTTGGGCCTCAACCTGCTCCTGATTTCTGCTGTGTTTTGCCTCCTGAGGAGTAAGTGTTGGGAAAATCCTGGGGGAAAAAAAAAATCCCCTGGAATAAAAATAATTTGGAGCTCGTTTCTGTGCAAAAAAACATGGGATAAAAGGGCTTTTTTTCCCCACTTTTTTTAACCAGGGAGCAACAAGAAAAATGCCAGTGCAGGTGAGTGATGAGGAATTAAGGTGAATTATTTATATTAATTATATTAATCATATTATTTGTATTTATTATGGCTATTTTGGATGAATTTCCCTTGTTTTGCAGTGAAAGTGAAGCTGGAAAGGGAAGAAGGTAAAAAATCCCTCAGGAAACGGGAAATGTCCAGCGTCAAATATTAGGAAAGTTCCCAAATCGGGAATTTTGGGAGCCAAAATTCCGTGTCCTCTCTTTTCCAGAAAAAAAGAAGGTGAAGTCGTTGTTGGGTAAGAGATTCCCTTTTTCCTTCCCTTCCCTTCCCTTCCCTTCCCTTCCCTTCCCTTCCCTTCCCTTCCCACATTAATAATAAATATTAACAAATATTAACAATGTCTATTATTAAATATTAACGTTATTCCCAATTATTCCCTCGATTCCACGTCCGGAATCTCCAGACGGAGAGAAAGCCAAGAAACGAGCGGGTAAATCCCATTCCCATAAAACATTCCCTGGGAAAACAATCCTCGGTTTAATCATCTTAATTAAAAGTGATTAATTAATCCCCAGGGATGATCCAGTCACAGCTTTTCCCTCTTCCTTGGGATTTCATGGAATCACTTAGGCAGGAAAAGACCCCCAAAATCCCAAAATCCAAGCCCAAATCTTCCACCGAATTCCACTGGGACTTTTACGGGATCAAAACTTTTTCTTCTCCTTCCCCTTTTCCACCTTTTTAGCAAAAACCTGCAATTCCCTCAGTCCTGGAATTTAACAGAATTCCCAGAAGGAATAACTGGCATAATTCCAATGTCTTTCCCATGGATATTTTCCTTTTTTTTTTCCTCTGGAATTTTCTCCTCCCTCAATTTCTGCCCTTTTTTTTTTTTTTTCCAGCCAAGATCCACTTCAAGAAACGCTTCGGTAAGGGGATTGATTTGCATAAATTTGCATAAATTTACATAACACTGTGCTCTGGGTCATCTTTAGAAACAATAGGATGAGAATTCCTGTTAATATCCATGTTTTCCCTGGATTTATAGTTAATGAATGCAGTGAAATATCAATTTATGGGGAGGAATATCCTTGTTTTCCACTCCCAGGAGTTGTTCCCATTGGGAAAACTGGCAAAAAATGGGGAAAGAATGGAAAAAAGGGGAAAAACTGGAAAAAAATGGGGAAAACTGGGGAAAGATAGGAAATCCAAACAAAAATACCTGGAATATCTTTTTCTTGCAGGTCGACTGAAGGCAGAGCTGGGTGAGTGAAAAAGATGGGATTGTGGAAATTCCTGGGATTTGGGGATTAAATGGGATTTTTGGGAGATCCGAAGGGTTTTCCCAGTCCGGGGAGGACCAAATTCCACCAAAACCCCTGGAATGCAGCGATGTCTGTTGTTTTTCCATAGATTTCTGGGAAGCCCGGAGCCACGCAGGTGAGCTGGAAAAATGGGAATGTGCCTTGGATGGCAGGAATGGAGACGGGATGGGGATGTTGGGAATGGTGGAAAAAGGGAGTCCCGGGAGGCGTCCAAGGCCGGGATGGGATCAGGATGCAATTCCCGAGAGGATGGATGGGAAGAGGGAGAGGGATTTGTGTCCTGGGAAATCCCAGGATGGGAGAGATCCGGGGGGAGGCCTTGGGGGCCTTTCCAACCTCAGCCAACTCGGGGATCCAGGGATTTGGGGGAATTCTGGGATTTGGGAATTCTGGGATTTGGGGATTCTGGGACTTGGGAATTCAGGGTTTCCGTGGCTCCTTCTCCTCCTGCTGTCCCGCAGTTCCCGTATCCTGGAATGCCCCGGAGCGGATCCTGGAGCTCCCGAGCGGGGAGAGCGACGCGTCCGCTCCCACATTCCCGGTGCGCGTGGGGCGGGAAGGCTTCGGGAGCGGGAAGCACTACTGGGAGCTGGAGCTGGGCCGGAAGCAGGACTGGGCGCTGGGAGTGCTGCTGGAAAACGCGGGATGCGAGGCCGGGCCCGTTCCCAGCCGGGATTCCTGGGCTCTGCGCCGATCCCAGGGAGAGATTCTCTCCAGCGCCGGAGCCCGCGGGCTCGGGAAGCTCCGCTGGAGCGGCTCCGCCCTCGGCGTCTTCCTGGACCTGGATTGGGAGTGCCTGGAATTCTACGACGTGGAGACCGCGGAGCTCGTGGAGAGGCTGGGTCTGAGCACCGCGGGGAATTCCCAGGGGATGTTCTTCCCGTTTGTGTCCCGGGGGGAAGGGATCGGGATCCGCCCGGTGCCGATCCCGGTCCCGCTAAAGGGACTTTGAGCAGGGATGGGGGAAAAGGGGGGAGAAAATGATGGAAATGGGAATGGGAAGGAACGTGAGGGTGTGGGAGGGGAAAAAAGAGGGAAAGGAGGGGGAAAGGGGCTGGTTTTCCCTGGATAAAACCCCCATTTGGGTCTGGTTTTCCCTGGAAAAAAAAACCGTCTGGGACTGGCTTTTCCTGGGAAAAAAAAAGAAATGGAATAAAAGGTTTTTGAAGGGAAATGTTGTTGTTTTGGGAATTCTTAGGACATTTGGGCCCATTGGGGAATTCCTAGCAGGAAAAGGATGGGAAGGAGAGGTTATTTGGTCCCCAAATGTGCTGGAATTTGGGTGGGAAGAGCCTGGAGCAGGAGCTTGATCCCGGCTCCATCAGGTGGAATGAACAAGGGGGGTGGGAGCTCCCTTGGATGCAATTCCCAGCAGAATCTCCAGATCTGGGATTTGAGTCGTGCTCTGGGTTCCCTTGGGAATTTTGGGATTTCCTGTTGTCCATCCTCGTCTCCAGAGGAGAAAATAATTGGGATAGGAAATGGAAAAAAATTGGAAAACTTTAATTTTTAATTTAATTTATTATTCAAGAAATTATTTTACATTTTTATTAATTTATTAATTTTATTAATTTATTAATTACAAATTCATTAATTATCGCAAATTATAAATATGATAATCTATTGATATTTACATAATTTATTATTTTAATTATTAACCCCCCACGGAGCGAATTCCCAACCCCTTCCCGTCGGAGCCGGGGCTGAAAAACGGGAAGAGATTCCCAGAAAACCTCAAGGGAAGCGACGCCAGGAGACTCTTCCCTTCCACGTCGAAGAAGGAGAGGCTGCGGGATTCCTGATCCAGGAAAACCCCGAGCACTGGGCAGGGCCCGGAATTCCGGCCCCCGGGAATGCTGAATTCCCCCCGGGAATAGCCGAGGCCGAGAACCTGCTCCCGCTCCCGCGGCAGCACCATCCCGTCGCTCCGCAGGGAATCCCGGATTTCCTCAGCCAGCACCCCCAGCTCCCAGCCGGATCCGTCCCCGACTTCCACTTCCCAGTAGTGCTTCCCTTGGGAAAAGGATTCCTGGGCCAGGACGACGGGTTTGGGGTGGAGCTGCTCGGAGCAGGAAACGATCCGGGATCGGTCCCGGAGGGAGAGTTCGGGATGTTTGCAGAGCTCGTCCAGGGTCAGCGGGACTGGGAGAGGGGGAAAGCCGAGGATTTCCAGGGAATTAGGGAAAAGTGGTTATGGAAAGTGATAGAAAAATGATATAAAATTTGGGGGGTTGTGGATAATTTAATGTGAAAATGGAGGAAGAGAAGGAGAGGAAGAGGAAGAGGAAGAGAAGAGGAAGGGGGAGAGGGAGAGGGAGAGGGAGAGGAAGAGGAAGGGGAAGGGGAAGGGAAAGGGAAGAGGAAGAGGAAGGGGAAGGGGAGAGGAAGAGGAAGAGGAAGGGGAAGGGGAAGGCCCTGACTCACCCACGTTTCTCTGGGCACGTCTGAAATCTGCAGGGAAATGAACGACTAATTAATGCTAATTGATTAATTACCGCGGCAGGAGCAGCTCATTTGCATGATTTTTGCATAATCGGGGGCGGGGTTTGGGAATTTCGGGGTTCGGGACCAACTCACCCAGTTGGGCCTGGATTTGTTCTGGAAGGAGAGAAATTCCATCACCGTCCTGCTGGAAAAGGGGCACCTGGGCCGGGTGGGGCACCTGTGACACCTGAGCCAGGTGTGGCACCTGTCACCTGTGTCACCTGTGTCACCTGTGTCACCTGTTCCAGGTGTGTCACCAGTCCCAGGTGTGTCACCTGTGACACCTGAGCCAGGTGTGTCACCTGTCACCTGTCACCTGTGTCACCTGTGTCACCTGTGTCACCTGTCCCAGGTGTGTCACCTCTCACCAGTGTCACCTGTCCCAGGTGTGTCACTGGCCCCAGCCCTCAAAGTGGCCCCAATTTCCCCCCGAAAGTGCTTCTTTTTTTTTCCGGAGCCCCAAAAACCCGAAATTCCCGAAATTCCCCAAGCTGTGGAATTTTCTCACCGATTTTTGTTGTCATCTCCTGGTTTTCTACGAGGAAAGAAAAGGAAATCAGGATTTGGGAAGGGGAAAGGAGGGGAATTCTGGGAATTTGGGGATGGAAAGGTTAAAAGGTAGAGAAATATATTTAAAATTATGTGTATGACATATAAAAATACACAAAATCATATTTAATATATTAAAATGTATTAAAATAGATTATATTTAAAATACGATATAAAAATATATTTAAAATATTCTACAATACATCTAAAATACATGAAAAAATATATTTTTATATTTAGTGACTTGATATAAAAATATATTCTATATTATTAATAGTTAATGTTAATGAATATAACAATTAATAATTATGAATTAATTATTAATCATAAATATTAATAATTACCAAATCAATATATACTTACTGTTAACAGTATTAATAAATTAATAATAATATAATTTATATTCTTAAAGAATTGAAATAATTCTAATTCTACCTACGACACATATTATTATATAAAATGTAATTAATTCTGGAGGAATAATCCAGGATTTTTTACCCTTCTGGAATTTCTCCTGCACTTCCTCTGGAAAACAAAGGGAGAAAATGAGGAAAATGGGGGGAAATTCAGGACAACCCCCCCCCCCAAGTCTATGAAATCATCAGAATGACTCCAACAGTCTCAGTCCAACAAACCCTCAGTCCCGAGCTCAGCCCTTACCCAGCTCCATCTTGAATTCCTCGATGTCTGAAAGGAATCGGGTTCAAATATTAAAAATCACTTTTTTTTCCCTTTTTTACTCCCTTTTCCCCCAAAATACACCGAATTTTTCCCATTTTTCCGACACTTTCACCGGGTCTTTTTTTTAACAGTCGCTGAATTCCCGGGCTCAGGTTAATTTTAATTTGATTTTCTCGCCGGATTTGATGCATTTTTTTTTTTAATTTGTTAAAGAAATTTGAAGGCAGAAATCGCCGAGAAAAAAAAATCACTTTTTTTTTTCCACTCACCCTCCTGAATTTGCTTCTG